GACTCTCCATATTTGGAGGCTGCTCCTCTTCTTCACTTTTTGGCTGTTTGGGATGGGGACTTCTGACCAAAGTAACAAAGTACGTGACAAGAGCTGTCTGCCAAAACTGGGATCACAGCAAGTTTTTGAAGGCTCGTTTGAAAACTATCTTGAGCTTTGGGAGGATGAGTACAAGCCTGAACAGTGCAAATGCAGTGATGGAATGTCAAGATGGGAACAGAGTTTGTGAGTGGGGGTGAGGGTTTGGAACTACGTTGTCACTCTGATCTTGGAGGAAGGGAAGCAAATAAATGGATTTCCAAATACATATCAATCAGGATGGATAGGCAGGATGCTTTTCATCTGCAAGTGCTTGAAGCTGTGCATTTCCTGCTTGAGTTTAATACACACAATTTGTTCAACATCTTAGCTAAAGAGCATTAAACTTGTAGTTCTTATTGATAATGTCATGTGAGAGATTAACTTGTCTGAAAAGTTCCTAGGTTTGGAGATGAAAAGGTTAAAAAATTGTGCATTCCTTTCCCTGTATCCTTCTAAGAAGCATATCATAGAATGGCCTGGGTTGAAAAGGACCACAATGCTCATCTGGTTTCAACCCCCTGCTGTGTGCAGGTCACCAACCAGCAGACCAGGCTGCCCAGAGCCACATCCAGCCTGGCCTTGAATGCCTCCAGGGATGGGGCATCCACAGCCTCCTTGGGCAACCTGTTCCAGTGCCTCACCACCCTCATTTTGCAAATGCAAAATGCAACTAACATAGCAGAGTAGATAGCTGTGCTTTGCAATTGTACGTGTGCATTAATTAATAAAAGGTAGTGCTTGTGTTGAAGAAAGAATATTTCTGTGAAAAACCAAAGCAAAGCCCTCTCCCAAACACAGCACCTTTCATTATCCCAGTGTTGTAAGGTGTTCAGAAACAATGAAGTAGGAGAAACCCATTCAGCAACGATGATCTTTAGCAGCTGGGAGTTACGCATTTAGGTAACAAAGTGAAATGCTGATTTTAGGAGAGGAAATAGGACAGTTTTTAGATTGGTCAAATACTAGTTGTATACAGGGCAGCTGCAGACGGGAACAGCATCTCACTTGCTGTTCCTCACATATAAAAGGTGAGGAATGAGTGTGCTGTTTTGCTGTGGAAGGCATGAGAAGCAATAACCAGTGACTTATTCAGGAGGCAATAGATGGCTGCCTGTGCTAAGCATCACATTTAAGGAGTGTGCTAGGTGCTGTGAACACAAATGGGAACAGATTTCTCAAATTTTTCAAGTGCCTGGAAAAAAGAGTACACAGATCTTTCCCCCTGACAAGTTACTTGAATTATAAGCCCTTGATTTTATACAAATATGTGTATATATACATATTTACCCAAAGGAAAACTCACAGATATGTGAATTAATAGATCTTTCACTGCTTTATTTGATTCTTCCTTTGACTCAGCTTCAAAAGACAGACTGTGGGTTTTAATCTGACCAATGGCCAATAGAATCAGTGCTCTGTTGAAGGACTGTCACGGAAACAGGGAGTGATGCAGCTCCGGAGGAGGCACATTAGACTGGTAAAGTTTTTTCTACAATCAAAACCCTTTTTTCTGAAATGGTGATCATCAGGCAGGAGCACTTGTTGCAATATGGTTTGATGTCGTGGGAAATACCTTCCCCTGTTTTCTTCACCTTAGAGGGTTGCTGGGAAGAGATATGAGCGCACTACTGCCCAGCTGAAATAGTCTCTGCAAGCCCAAATGCAAAGCGATGATTTTCAACACTGAGGGGTAAGAGCATCACTGATAAAATTACCAGAATTTTACCTTTTTTTCCCATCACTAACCTAGGAGTGGTACTGGGGGAGCTGGGTCATTTGTCAACCTTGGAGCAAGCTGGCCATCTCTCAACTGCTGGATATTAATTATTTAGACCATAGGAAAACTGAACCCCATGCTTCCTTCTGGCATGGAATCTCTTTATTTTAGATGTGGCTCTGGAGTTTTCACTGTCTATTGCTGCCTGTGAGGAAAGATGGCAGGGTATCTGCCAACAGCCCCAAATCTCTGCTTTCCAGAGCACTTGTGATGTGGGCTTTTGTTTTGTCTATAACTTTTACTGAACGGAAAGTTATGGGATTCTAATAACCTTTTTTTTTTTCTTTTTTTTTCCCCCTAAAATTTGATATTAATGCCAGACTTTGCAATTGTACTAGGTCAGACTAAGAACTGAGTTTAAAAGACTTTTAAACTCCAATATTAAGAGTTATTCCCATTTTGCACTGGTTCTAATGTGTGTCTTAGATCCTGTGCAGCAGACCCTTACCACACCTGTTTTCAAAGTAGCTATTAGCTCTGTTGAAAAAGGAAAATTTAGGGCTGAGTATAAATCCTGTTCCATAGGAAGGAAATATTTTGGTTTTCCTAACGGTAAAGTTACACCAAAAATGTGCATGTAACCCAAGATCTTTGAGAGATGGCTGCAGCATCAGTCTTTTTTCTGAATCCTACCCCTCCCATGGCTCACAGGTAAGCAGCTGGATATACTGATTTGCAGAGCATCGGTTCTGAATAAGCTTTCTCTTCAGTTATTGGAATACTCTCAGCTGCTGGTGCACCTGTACTTCCAGTTTGGCTTCAAACCAAGATAGAATGTGCATTTTTGCAAGCTGTAAACTGAAGAACAACGTGCTTGTGCAATACGCCATTCTATTTTCTTTACTAATATCGTAGCTCAGTGAACATATTTTCCAGATACACTCGTGTATATTTAAATGTGTGTCTCAATAACTGTGCTTCTTAAATTCAAGAGTCAAGTAGCTACTTGGTATGCCACACTTATCTTAAGCAGAATTTGATTTAAAACATTTATCTTCCCTAGTATCATTCTCCTATGTCAAAGCACGTTTAAATCACACGGTTCCTAAATCCCCTTGTGTTTAACATGGTGTCAGAGTATGAAAGAGTTTGACTAGCACTCTGTTGTTTGCTCACTTTTGTCATTTCCAGCTGCTGTGGCATTGTTTTGAACACATCAGTGAAGCTGAGAAGGAGACGTGTTAGCAAAGTAAACTTTTAATTTTTAAAAGCAAGGTCAGACTCCAGGGCTAGCAATGCTAGAAGACTGCAACCTAAGATGGGTGCAATTATGCGAAATCATGTGTTGAGTTACAGCCTCGTGTCTCCATTAGGCTCTGTGAGGTTGTGCAAGTAGAAACACAAGAGAAAAACCATCCTGAAATGTCTTTGATTTCTCCCTTAGTCAATACAGTGAAGGATGCAGTGCTGATAGAAGTGCTCATTTCTACATCAGTAATTCAAAAGGAAAACCCTTTTTCCAGGAACATATCACTTTGGTGAAAGCAGCAGACTCAACACGGGGCTTTGGAGGGATTTGGCGCCTTGGAGCATTGCGTTGGTCTCACAGGTAGAACGTTTAGGCAGCACCTCTGAATGCAGAAAAGATTCCCATCGAGGGACAAGAGGTGATCCACTAAGGCAGAGCAGATTTTACTGATTTTGTGTTAGTATTTAAACCAAATGCCATCACAATTAAGGTTTTTGTTTTTCCAAAATCCTCATCTTTATTTTTTCTTTATCTTTTCCTTCAGATAATTGGAAAGTACTAGAAAGCATGAGTTCATGCCAAACAGTGGTTCCCAGAATAGCTAGTGCATTTGAGGTCAGGCTGTGTTTACTTGGTGAGGAAGTCAAGTAATAAATTTGCCAAAAAAACCTACTTGACTTTTCTGGGTGAAGGAAAAAGATGTGATGCTATGCTGTTAATGTCTTTATCCTCGAGCCAAAGCACTGTGCAGATATTTTGTAGTCTTCCTCATTTCAGAGCACATCAGAACTTACTGCCAATGTAAGTTCTCAACTTCTGAGTGAATCTGAGGTGTACAGTTTCATAACCCTGACCATTTATTCATGTTAAAGCATTCTAAATAAGAGAAATGGGCATTCTGTTCTGTGAAGACAGGAACATAGAAATCTAGTTGTGAGTATGTTCCAACAAGTTTTGGAATTGATAAACAAAACTACTGAGAATTTCCTTCACTCACACAGACACGGAAAGTCATCAGCAGTTGCTAAAGAATTTCTACAACACTTGGGGCAAGTTGTGGCTGGATCCTCTTAGAAACTTCGATCTCTTCTAATAAAACTATTGTAGCAAGGAAGCTTTAACATTTCCATAATGAAATGGGAATTTCACCATTTGAACAACATATTAGGCTGTGGTAAATATATTCTTGTACTGTGAGGAAGAGAACATATGTTGGCTTTTGCAAAACATTTCTCTTTCAAGCAGCCCAGAATTTCTGTTTCAAAGCTGAGAAATTTACCACAGTTGTTCAAATGGTTTTGAAAGAGTGACACTTCCTACAGGCAGAACTAAGGCACTTGTATGTGGGTTTTGTGCTATTTCTTTGTGTAATTAGCAGAGTACAAGGGAATTCACTGTCAAACTAACTCTCAAACAGCCTAATATTACTCCTACATTTCTACTTGTAAATATTATTCAAATTTCATTGAATCACTGATGAAGGAGCTGAATTCTAAGCCCTAAATTCCATCCCTCTCCAAGATCATCTCTCATCTTTAGATGATGTTTAGCTCCCAGATGTCTGCTTGACATCCCACCCACTTCCCACCTACTCAAGCTCTCCCTTCCATCAGTAGCATCTCCCATTTGGAAAGCATTTCGCTCTGCCTCTTGGTGGTCAGTGCCCACGTTGGGTGAGAATATCTGATATATTGACTGACTATATTGTTTTGCAATATAAAAAGGATAGTGTTGTCAAAACCTGGCTTGAGACACGTGAATTTACTGTGGGCGAATGGAAAACAAAATGTATGGGAACTGCTGAATCATGGCCTGGACCTCTGATTGATCACCTGAGGTGAGCAATGAATCAGTCCTGGGGGCACAGGTGAAGGCAATTCACCTGTGCTGCTGAAGGTATGGAGCTGGGCTTCACCTTTCCTAGACCTCATTTAAGAGCTGACTACTGGGGAGAAAGGATCTCTTTCTGGAGATTCCTCCTTTGGAATTTTCCAGTGAGCTCAGGACAAGGGTAAGCCCTCTGTTTATTCTTTCTTGGTGTAATAACCTGCTTAGCCAAACTCTCTGTTTCTTAATTATAACATCTGTATGTTCATTGATTATACACAAAACAGAAGGCATTTAATGTAAGAAGTCCAACACCAGACTGAAAGTGGGGAAGTTCCCAACTAGTTTTGGAGTCCAGTCTGAAGCCTGCTTCTGCTGAAGCAGAAACTAGAAGGCTGAGCGCAACAAAAGCTGGATGGGGGAAGATGTGAACAAAGCTTGAGAAGGGCACGAACTGTGCTCTGATTTCCATATAAGCAAAATCTTGTTTTTCATAATATTGAATGAAAATAAGAAGTATTTTATCTTGGTTTAAAAGAGCAGAGTTTAGCCACAGTATCAGTGGTCATTAAATATTTTTAATCCTTACATATTATCATGAATCTATCATTATTTAACTGCTCTGAACTCCCATAAAGTAAACTGATACAGGCTTAGGCAGTAACTTGTAACTTATGTTTAAAATCTCAAGTCACTGAACTGAAGCAAAACTCATGGTTCAAAAAGACACAATGTTTTTACACGAGGAAAACAAAACAAAAAGAGAAGAACAAATCTCCTTTTGCAATAGACTTCATTATTTGGTTTTTCTGGACTTACTTTTTTTTTCTCAGGGAGACTTAGGGTACTTAATGTACAATAATTAAAAAATTGAGGATTTATTATGATATTTCAAAATATCATTAAAGCTTATGTAAACTAGAGTTCAAATTGCTGTTGATCTAGATCCTTGGAGCTATTTAAGCTAGAAAGAACTCATGAGTTTTACAGCCTACGTTTTTATAAAGCATATTATCCCAAATGGGCCAATCTGAAAATTACCATAGTGAGAGTTTGTTATATTTGGCTGGGATCTGCAATTGTTAGGAGTCAATCCAAAATTCGGTGAAGTCATGGATTTTCATCAAGTCAGTATAGATTAATATGGACTAGGTCTGTTACATTTCATCTAACAATGGCCTTTCTTTACATGTGTGTTCATTCACTTTCTACATTTGGTTGCCAATGTACGTATTTCTTAAGCCCTGCAGAGCACTTTACTTGGGAAAAATACCTTGTCTGTCAGTTGTTCAACCAGTGGCTATAAGTAGTCGTGGTAAATCCTGCACTCTGAAACTAATCCAGGCAAAGAAGTGCAAGTATTGAGACTTCCAGTCTTTCCAAATAAATTTAAGTTTATTTAGCTATTTAAATCATACATTAATTTTGAAAAAAAAAAAAAAATGCACAAATAAGCTTAGGCAGTTTCTTAGCATTACTTTTTCTGAGTAACTATGGAGCTAATTTCCACCAGAATTTATCATCACATGCAAAATTGCTGCAGTTAAGAAAATTGCTGTTTGATGTATAAAGGGGTGAATTGTTCTTCTGAAAGCAAGGTAGTATCGAGTTTGGCAGTTGTTATACCAGGTTATATGAACTGTGAATGTTCTACAATGTTCTCCCGTACCTAATCGGCTCTAACTGTTGATACGTCTCTGAATGAGGCTTGTAAATGGCGGTCCCAGGAGTACCAGCCAGCTCTGGAATAGAAGTTCTGATAATCAAGTCACATATTTGTTCCTTGTTGCATTTAAATTACACCACTTCTGTTTCTCTGGGTTCCCTTTAGAAATAGTTGATTGGCACCACACAGTTTGTGTACAGCTATGGAGTTCTGGATTCAGAGGAGAAGCTTTTTGCAACTACTGCAGGTTATTCATAATGCAAGTGAGCGTGAGGACAGTACTGGGGTATCTAAGATGGCATGTTGATTGACTGGGCTGAAATAACATGTAGACTTATACTGCTTTTACATATAATTAATTCTTTCATTACACACACAAAGATTTTTCCTGCACTGTCCTTGTTTTATTGCTTGTTTTTGCCTCTCACCTCAGTCAGTGTGCCCTGTGCTAAACGATGGAGAAAGCCATCACATCTCCCCCGCCCCCATGGCTTGCGTCAGCTATATATGATTTATCTTTTAATGTGCTGAGGCCCTGCTCAAGATAATCTCTCCTTGACTCCACTGGCAGGTTTTCTTACAGCAAGAACATTAATGGGAAGAATATTAAACAGAACATCCTTTTTTTTTTTTTTTTTTTTTTTTTTTTTATAGTTTTATTTTGTATCTCTGCTTTAATTTTCAGTTCTGTCTCAATGAGACCATAGACATAACTTAAGATACAGTTTATACGCTCTTGTTCCAATTCCACTCTAATAGCTGTCATGAATGATAAATAGATAGGCTGGCAACTGGTGTAAATTACAGGAGCACAAGTATTGCATTATCCTTTCTAAAATATTGCCAGCCCCAAATTGCTTAATGGTACCTGGGGTTAGCAGGACACTAAGTGTTACTGTGGTCTGTAAGGAATGTACGACTGAAAGTGGGGCAGGTCTTCGCACCATGGGTGTGTAACATGCTGTGCGTTGTATCATGAAATGTGATTCTTCCTCCTATGCTTTGCTTCTGACTTTATTTATGGTAGAAGATTTTGCACTTAGGCACTGGGTTGAGTCACTTTTTAATGGTAGGGTCACTGTTATCAATGGTTATTTTTCATGCACGTTGATACCTGTGATGTTTTCTGTTAACTTCAAGTATTCATGCTTTTTTGTACAGAGAGATGTTGATAGTGTGTGACTTTGAGAAACTGAAAGTCAACAAAAAACTTGCCTTAATACTGTGGTCTGCGGAAGGTAAAAAGTTACAATACTCTTTTCTTTTTTGTGCAGTAGAAAGCTTTCTAAATTTTATCACGTGTCCACGAACTTGATGTTACACTCTTGAAAATGCTTGTACTTACAATTACCCTTAATAACAGAAAAGGGTGTGAAATCAATCAGTGCTGCTGTTTCTGCTATTTGAGTTAAATGTTTAGAAAATGAGGTCCTGAATTAGGATGCTATAGAGAAATTGGTATTTTTTATTTATTATGATAGTTGACATAATTAAATACTTTAATTAGAAAATATTTTTTGTTTACTTTCTGGGAACAGGCATTGTTTTTTGTTTGTGTTGTATGACCTCTGCTTGAATTTCCTTACCAAATTCCTATCACTAGAGTAGCTCTCTTAATGGCTTTACACATTTTTGAACCTTTTTCCTCATTATGTGTGGTTATTGAGTTGCAATGGAGTGCGAAATCAAAAGGCAATTTTACTTCTCGTACATGTTATGAAGCAAGGTGACATTTTCCTTTTGGATTTTTTGCCAAAATGCTTGGGATTTCTATCTGCCAACTTCAAGCCAGTTCTGGTGTGAACTTTGCCAAATTCCTTGAATGAAAAACGCTGAGGATAGAAGAGTAACTCACAGAAACAGAGAATGACTTGGGTTGGAAGCCCAACCTTAAAGCCCATCCAACCCCAACTCCCTGCCATGGGCAGGGTGTCCTCCAACCAGACCAAGATGCCCAAAGCCCCATCCAACCTGGCCTTGAGCCCTTGAGGCATGGACCATCCACAACTTCTGGAGATTTGCAGACATTTATTTGCTTTGGGACCCAGTCCTGCTGAGTTTTTCAGCTCTCAGCCAACTGTAACCGTAAGAAAATACAACAGAAAGCTGAATTTCAGCTCTACAGCTGAACCTGAATCTTTGCCCACTCTGACCAGGGGGATGAGGCCTTGCTGTGGGATCAGTCCCTATGGCACTGCATGGCTCTGAAGCATGTGCCAGGTAATTCTGCACCAATCTCAGGATCTCACTTCAGAGCTGTCTGCTCCATTTGTGTTTTATCTGCATGTTGACCATAGCTATATCCAACTTTCCTGGTAGCAGAAATGGCTGCCCTACCTTGGGGAATATGGAGGCCAGAAGTAAATTTTGAAGAGCAGCAAAGAAAAGGAAAAGCAAAGAAGACTTATCCCTGGGATCTCTGTCCATCTTGCAGGGAGGTAGTGCCTGCCATAGTATCAGGCCTTCATTATACTGATAGGAATATGGTAATACAGAAAAAAAGCTCAATATTCTGTGGGTTCAAGTTCAAAAAATCACCTTGTCCTGGGGAAGATGGCTTTTCTCAGGCAGAAGTATGTATTTCCACAGTTCGGTATCCTCATATGTGAGCCTCACCTACAAAGCAGTCATTTCTGGCCTGCTCACAGTCATTGCATTGAAGAAGGTGGGTTCTTATTGTCCGTGCTGCGCTCATTGCAATGCAGACTGAATACCTCTGCATCAACAGTGGATCTGACTTCCTCACATCAGGTGCCCTTTTGATAAATACTGCTGTTGCAATGTGTTTGCACAAGGTGAAGACCTATCACTTAAAAACATTTACTTGATATATTTACATATAATTCTGCATTCTCCCAAGACCTGTTGGCAGCATTCAGTTATTCTCCAATGTCAGCTGTTGCAAGGTTGTGAGCTCTGTGGCTGTTCAGTTCTGCATAGAAACGAAGTACTTGCAGTTGCTTTGCCATTTGGCTGTCTTGTTGCTTTCCATCAAACAAGAAAGCATTTCTTAGATGTCATAGGAGCATCGCCATCAGATTTTGGAGTGATTAGATTGGTGCTACAGGTAGATCTAAAACTGTTGCTCCTGCTGGTGTGCACTAAACCGTTAGTGAGGCCTTTGATGTTTTAACTGACTGCTTACAAACTGTTGCCACCTCAGTCTGTCAGCATTTTTGATGTTCCAAAATGCAGAAAAGATAACCACGTATCATTAGCAACCTGTTGCTGTTCAAAGATAAAAGGCTGTAATGGCAAAAGCGACATTCATATCTGCACTGTTATCTTAGAGGCATGTTAGCTGTGCTGTGCACTAAGATTTGTCTTGCCAGCCATTAAAATAATTAATCAGCAAAATGGCATGTTAACAAGGACTGTAGAGAAGCCTAAATGTGTTTATAGAAATGATCCTCTATGTCTGAGGGTGTTTTTCCTCTGTTCTTCCTTGCAAGAAAGAGAATCCAAAGAAGCTCTGTGCATTATTCCACTTACATTAGTGTTTGAGTAAAATCAGAAGCAGATCCTTTAAACTGAGGCAAAGTGTAATATGAATGAACAGCTTTTAGAATGATTGTTTGATTTGTTTGAGAGGGTTAAAAAACACTTCTGAAAATCCTGATATATTTCCAAAGATTGCTTTGGTTTTTGTTGTCTTTTTTTTTTTAAAGTTAGGAGTGACTCAGGTCTGTGGTTGCAACTAAATCATCTGTCTCTGAAATGCATGCAGGATTGGACGATAGTTTGGGAAAGAAAACCCCCCTAAAAGCTGATAGGGAAGTGCTTGGAAGCAAAGTGCTTAGTAACAATCAGAAGAGATGACAGATCGTATTATTGCACAACAATAAGTCTTCAAGGTATTAGAGGTATCAGTTTGCAGCCCTTCCTATATCATCATTACCTGCCACAGTCTGACTCTAATCACAGCAATAGAAACTGGGGTAGCTCCGTGGGTGTTTGTGACTTTCTCTGAATATTTATGAAGGTTATAAATGAAATCAGGATCTTGCTCTCTGTTCTTAGCCCATCTGTATAACTATGAAGGCCAAATGAAGCTTTTAGTCATTATACTTAATTGGATGAATGGCCTTCAAAGCTGTCAATAAGTGGTGTGTTCACAGTAAGGTAATTAATAACGCTATTTCCTTTTGGAAGACATATCATTAGCCGTTATTTCTCGAGATACAACACTGATGTCTATTCAAAGAGGTAATTGCAGGTTACCCACCAATTCCCCACCAGTGACATCATCTTTGCAAACTGAATCTCACAATCTGTCACTTTTGAATTCATAATTAGGATATTTTTCTAATGACAAGTGAATGTTATTGAAAGAAATACCTACTTTGTCTTTACAGGAACAAGCACAGACTTTCTGAGGGGTGAGGGCTTGCAACACACAAGGCTTGTGAGCTGTTAGACCAAACATCTGGGACCTCCAGAATGGCTGCATTGATGGATCCAGTGAAAGTCACAGAGGCAAACTGGCAGCTGTATCACTACCAGTTGGTCACCAGCAATTGTGACTGCATACTTGAACAGACATGCCAAAAATATTCTCTGCTGTAGAATTTATTTGCTAGAAGCATTTTATAATAGCAGATAAAGAAAGTCGTTGGATTGTCCCCATTCGTTCTCCTAGGAGGAAAAAAAAAACTGCACAGTGCAAATGATATTTTTCACCCTTTTTTAATTAGCTAATATGCTATGCGTCATGGTTTACTTCTGACCCCGTTCTGGAAGGTTAGAAACAGACAGCAATGGGATACTTTGGTTCTTTTAATTTGTTCATCTTATTTTAAAATATATGTATACAAATAGCAAGGATCTTTCACCTGGAGGTGCTCAGCTCTTGCTAGTACTGTAAAGCTATACAGATAAAAATATGTTGCATTTATGTCACTGCAAAATCCTGAAGTGCATCCATTGTTTTCAGATGTCTTGGAGAGTTACTTTTCATCCTGCATTGGGTGTTAGGCCGTTTTCAGTGTCTTGGGAGCTTCACAAAGGTATAAGCAACAATGTGCTATGTGCACTGACTTTGATCTGCAGACTTCAAACAAATGCACTGTGCAAGCGTTCGTCACAGACCCAACAGTCTAGCAGGAGCTGGAACCCATTCTACGACCAAACCCAGCTATTTTGATTCTGTTTTTGTATCCTCACCTTAGCAGGAGCAGGAACGATTTAAATGACACTGACCCTATGTCAGTGCATGTTCAGGTGATTCAGACTAGATTTTGGAGGGTTAACAGCATGGATAGTCGCCAAGCAGGGCGCACCACTGCGGTCAGGTCCCAGCCAAAAATAGCATTCATATTCTTGACCCAGGATGGGGAGATTATTTTTTCTGTCAGAAGACTGTAATGTAGTGGAAACTAGAGTTTCTTTCTTAGTGGTTGAAGATTTTGGTGCTAAGCAGTTTCTTCTGGTAAAATATTTTAAGTAGTGACATAATTTCCTTTGAATAGCTATCATTTTCAAGCCCAGTAAAAGTGAGAGGTTTATGGGCTGTATTAACTCAAACAGCCCTTTGGAGAGCATCTAATGTTTTATGAATACTTATTGTCTGCTTTTTCTCCCTGCTTTTAAATAATGAAATACCTAACACCTGCAAATGAGTAATGATGTCGAGAAAGAAGATCTAACAGTTAGTGCTGCCTGGAATATCAGGCATCAGAATTTCTCATTTGTAAACAAGGCTTCTCACAGGGGTTGCAAATATCAGTCGTCATCTCCGAAGCTGCTGCAGGAAGCGTTCAGACCGTCAGTGGGTGAGTGCACTGTGACTGATGGCATGCTGGAAGAATTTGCCTCAGTTTCAGGCCTTGTGAACCATAGGGAGCACGTCTGCAAATGGATCTTACAGAAGTACAGTGTGAAAGAACTTAAAGATCATATAAACGTTTCTCGTGGGAGCAAAGAGATGTGGTGTTTCAAATTTAATGCAATAAAAATTGAGTTCAGTGCCTGATCTCTTTTTTTTTCCTTACCTGACTATATTTGCTCTCTAACTTGCTGTGTGGAGCTTGCTATGGCACTTTTCTTCGCCCCAGTGATCTCATCTCTCTTTAATCTTGTTCTTTCCTTTTTTCTTTCCTTTCACACCTCCCCTGGCTGTATTTACCTATTTACAAATCTGTGGAGAACGCTACTGCACAGCTGCGTTTAAAAAGCAGCATTAAAAATAAAAGTTCTTGACTTACTCAGCAAAAGGAAGATGGATTTTTCTCTGTCCTAATCTCTTGAATATATGACAGATTATAGTGTGGACTTGTAGAACTATTAAGGCATAATTATTGAGAAGTGAAAGTGCGGCAATAAAAGCTTCTTTGAATCTTGCATTTTAAATAGAGTTGAATCCTAGAAAGCTTTCTGTGGTGGAAATACTTGTGTAAGAACAGATTGTTCCATACCTGTCTCTATCAAAATGCATTTTCTAGGTCTTAGGATAGATAGATAAATAGAGTAACGAAGACAACAAAGCTTAATTTTTCTGGCATGAAGTTACTGTTGGATGATGGAGGTTCCCACAGCCCTAGGGAAGAAGCTGAAGCCCGTGCTGATGATGGTGGATGAAACACAAGGCCAGAGCATGCCCCATACACCAGCTGACTTGACCACTCCTTGCACAACTCCCTTTTCTGCTATAGGAAAAGAGCACATCATAGGCAAAATGCAGGACCCAGGCTGTCAATGCAGGACCATCCCTTCTTTTTTTGCCCAGCTGAATTAGCAGGATAGCAACAGGGTTGTGTTGATTGCCCTAGAGGAGGACTGGAGTTTGGGGCAGCTATAGAAGCTCTTTTCAACTCCTTCAGCAGAGTTTGTCACAGGACCTGGAGCACTGACATGGTATGCTGTTGAGAGATTCTGCCATGATGCAAAGAGCTACGGATAAAGGACCTCAAGAGCTGTCTGAAAATCAAGGTACTGTAACACATATCTGTCCTAGATGCTCAGTCTACTGATTATGCAATGGAGCCACTTACAAAGTTATAAAGCATGAGCAGTATCACCATTGCAAAATGAAATAGTTGTATAATGCATATTTAATTATATATTGCACAAATAATGACGCTGCCAAATGGTAACTGTATTTCTCACTAGAGGGCAGATTATAAACCACACTGGGTGCTTTCCTGCTCACTGCCTGTGTCACAAGGAGACAACAGCTCTCAATGCCCCACCTGTCTGCAAGACACAGAGAAGCTATCTGAGTCCAGTGAGTCTGGTGGCAGACATATTGTCTTGCTGAAACAAAGGAGAGCCATCAACTGCCCCAGCTTTGAGTAATAATCTGGTTGGTTGCTCCTTCTGGAATTGCTCATCTGTGTTTTTTTTATTTTATTTTTTTTTAATTTGTTTTGTATTTATGGCAAAATTAAAACATAGAAAGCTGAAGTCTAGCTAAGGCATTATGAGAGAAATTGAGATGCTTGGACTTATATGCAAGAATGTTTGCAGAATCAGGATATTCATGATGATTTTATAAGCTCATTGGTATTTAATTTGCACTGTATTTCTAGCCCTCTCATCCCCCTCCCCCCCCTTTTTTTTTTTGTCTTTTTAGAGTTAATATAAAAGTATATTTTACTGTAAGGCCTACTATATATTTTTTCCCAGTATAAATTTATAGGAATCTATATTTTAAGCTTCTTTAAGTACAGACCCCACTTCCAAAATATTCAGTCAGCTTTGCTGTTAGCCTAAATTTCTGCCTATTTATGTCCAGAACCACCATGGGGGAATCTACTTTGTGCTGTGTAACTTAAACAAACCAAAAAAGACTTGAATGAAGTTCTGAGATCAAGACAGTTCTTGTCTTTTCTTCCTTAGTACAGCATACTGATAAAAATCAGTAATGTTTCAATCCCTTGAATTTTTAAAGTAGAGAGAGACTAAATATAGTCATGGAGGCCTCTTGCTCAACCTGCTGACCCTGAACCAAGTGACTGTAGGTTGCACTGACAAGAGTCCCTTTGTCCTTTTCAATAATCAGACCCACTGAGCCAGGTAAATCTTTAAACAAGATGAATGGGCATCATTTTTAAAAAGTAAAATAATTCATTAGGCTTCGGGTGTGTTTCTCTTTAATTAGTTTGATGAGCATGAAGTCTGAGGCCTCGTCAAATACCCAGTATTAACTTTTGATATTGACTCAGAAGTGGAGCACTGCAGAGGTAAGAGCATGGGCAGGTGAAAATAAGTAAGATGTTCTGTAAAAGACTTCTGCCAGATGAGAGGAATCATTACCATGATGATACTTCTAATTATAACGTCATTAGGGCACTACTGCAGGTTCCTGTGGCACATGAAGTTTTTCAGCATCTTGCTCCCACATGGGTAAAATGTAGGCATTAACCCTTTCACTGGAAGTAGAGTTGAATATCCAGGCAAGCTGAAAGAACACAATTTGTTTTAAAGTTGTCACAGTATTTCTGAGAGTTCTGGAAAATTTAGCGGTAGTAAAGAATACTGAAGAGTAATTCACCTGATCCTTCTGCGTTCTCGCCGGAGGTCACAGATGGAGAACTGATGATATGCTTTTCTCAAGACACCAAAAAGGGAGACATGATGTACTTTGTTGATCTAATTTTTGTCTGACTGGAAAACAGGAGGCGAAGTTTCTGGCACAAAGTTGTTGCCCAAACCTTTGAAGAATAGCCAAAAGCAGATAACAAACAGGCCTGCAGACAATATTCCTCAAGGTCACATTCAACTCTTTAAGCAGCTGTTCAATCTATGAAGTGAAAAGTTCTTCTATTTTTGTGTAATTTTCAAACTGCTGATGATGCTATAATATATCCTCTAGGCTTCTCTCTTTGTTTAGGCAGCCTGGATTTATACATTCAAATCTTGGCTCTAGAATGGTTCCAAAAGAACAACCACGCATGCAGATGCCACCAAGTGTGTCAAAAATGTTATGCTATTAAATGCTATGATAAAACCTTCTACTTAGTGCTACAGTGCTTCTAGAATTTGTCTTGCAGGTCCAAGTTGATGCTGTCTATAACTGACCTGGAAAGGAACAACATTTCCTGGCTTTGTGCCGTGCTGTCACTGTGTTCGTGTTGCTCTAAACTGAGTCTAGCTCCTGGTTTGCCCTTCAGGAGCCAGACAGTTAAACCACAGCCCAATCCTGCCACTCTGGAACAAAATGACATCATCTTCAGTGTTTCAGGAGCAGAGGAATTGAACCTTGAGAGTTCCACAGATTCAGATTTAAAGAATGTTAAATGGGCACATCTCCCCCCCAGGATCCCAATCCAGTAGGGTGTTCCCAGGCAGGGGCTACTCCAAGCTTGGGCGTGCATAGGAGATCCCAGATTAGAAGTCTACTGCCAGAGTTACCTAAAGGAAGGGGATTTTGAGCACTGCATTATGCCTGAGGCAGACAGTGTGAATGATGAGTTTTCCAATGGAAGAAACTGCACAGGGCAGGTAGATCAGAGTAACAGATACCACAACCATCAAATATGTTCAAAGCAAAAGAACAGAAAGGGCATGAGAAAAATTTTAAAGGGCAAGGAGGGAGCAATAACATTATTAATATATCCCAGTGTCCTGAAGGAGTGGCTTTTTTTTTGTGAAACTCAGCAGGTTGTGACACTGAGCAATGCCACTGCCTCAGCACAATCTGTGTGGTACAAAGTGGGGATGTGGCATGAAGATTTTGTGAATTCCAGAAGCTCCTCTTTGATGACTAAATAGTTATTAGCTCTTTGAGACTGAGTACCATTTGGGTAATTGGTAAGTGGACTGTGACCTGAAGGACTGATTAAACTGGAGGGAAATAATTCAAAATTCTTTTCAGTTTTCCTCCATACTGCTTTTGTTTCATGTTCAGACAACTCAATCTAAAACATGAAACATTATTTTCATAAGAGCAATCATAATTGGCATAATTTGAAGGAAAAAAAACCTAGTAGCACTTGCTAATACGGGCAGAATTCAATTAATAAAACACCAAACCACATACTGTGGCTGATTTGTTTCTAAAATGCACTTGTGTAATTTAATAGACAAATGTGTTGTCTGTAGTGGTCATTATTCTAAAAAACAGCAGGGTTTATCCCTTACATCCCATTTTTTAATCTTTGGCTTCGTTGATGCTTTGAAAACTAGCAGCCTAGCTGGTTGCTCCTAGATAGGAATTCTGCCCAAATGCACGGTTTGTAGAACTGCACTCATTTAAATGATGTTACAGGCTTGTCTGACGCATGCGAAAAAAGAACTTCTCACATGACATGAGAAACATTCTACACCTGTGACTTCCCATTAGCAACCTAAGTATGTAGATTTGTCATTACTTATTCAGAAATCAGCCTGCAGACCCAAGGTGACCTGTGCTTCACCTCACCAATCCTGCTCCGGGGGCATCTCACATGAGGGTAGGTGCACTTCCATTTCAACCCTAAAAATGGGACTATTCATCTTCCTGAATCAGCTACATGGGCTGAATCCCTCTCTTCCACTGCAGCTGAGCTTTATGATTCAGTGTGCACCTTTATAAAGTTCTGGAAGACAAAGTGCTCAGGCCACGTTACTCGTTTTTGCATAGTACCAAATAGTGTTTTGTGAAAGCCTTTTAGAATCAGCTTTTTTCTTGGAGTGGTGTCAATCTTCAAGGATTTTTAAATATTTTACTGACCAACTACTATTTATTCCTTTGGAAAGAAAAGCAAATGGTTGCATGCAGCCCTGGCCATTTTATGCTTGCATATCCCTGCATGATCTCTGCTCCATAATGCACCCAGAAGACGTGTGTGGGCTTTGCTCTGCTCCTCCCTTTCACTGCCCACTGAGGGAATTCAAGCATGAAAGAGCTGTCCTGGTGCACACCCACCTCTGGACAAGGAGAGGAAATCCCAGGTGAGTACTTTAGGATAAGCACCCTGACAAGGTCTTTGGTTGGCTTTGGTTTTCATGCGTTTGTGACGTGAAATAATCTGAAAACATAACTTTGCAGTT